AAAAAAAAAAAAAAAAAAAAAAAAAATGGAGCAAGTAACAGCTACTATAGGAACCCACCCTTTCCTGAATAAAGTACTGTATATACTGCACTCTCCCTGGGCTGGGTGGCCTGTTTGTAAGAAATAAAGATAATGCTAGGTGCCAACGGGTCACTTTTCCTGCAACGGAAAAAGCAGAATTTGAAATCTGGACTATTACTGTACTTCAGAATTGATTTATTCTTCATCCCTAATCAGCATGACCTCTTTAAATCCATTAGCTTCTTGAATAGAACATCTGTTTGGCGAGCTTTCCAAGGTACAAGGAAGGTACACTTTCCCGGGGCGATTCTATTGTTGGGATGTCAATTTTTTTTTTTTTTTTTTTTTGCCAATGAGGTTGCAACTGCCAGTGGGAAGACAATTAAGAAGAGATGTGATTGGCCCCAGACTTTGTTGACTCCCTTTTCTGTGCATCTTTAGTCTAAAGTGTAAGAAAATGCAACGTTCTCCTTTTCAAAAGATGTTCATTCAGTGACCTTAATTTCAGTTTAAAAAAAAAAAAAAAAGAGAGATATGATTGGTTAAGCCCATTGGAGTTGGAATGCCTAAGTAAGCATTTGCCCTAATGGATGTGTAGAAGAAAAAGCATTTGAGAGAAATGCTTTTGTTCTCTCTTCTGTTAAATATATTCCCCTTTAATCTGACTGCTCAGTCTTACAATCAGAGGGAAACAATCACCTACGGCTAACTCAATTATCGCTGCTAATGGAGAACAGCAGAACCATGATGAAAAGAAAGTCACAGGCAACCCAGGCGCTCCTGCATTAACCTTTGCAAGTAGTAATGACAGGCAGCACAGCAGAATCATGTGAATTGCATGCTAATGTCATTTCTTCCCTGCCCCTCTTCCTTATCCCCCCTTTCCATGAGCCGCTCCTTGGGGTGGGTACTAGCAAACCCTGGGTGACTGAGGAATTCTGAAGCAGAAACATGCTAACAGTCTGAAGAGTGCAATTACCTACTTGGCGATTAACCGTAGAAATATAAAAACCTCAGATCAGTGTTGGATTTGGCTTGGATGGAGCGCTGTCATTGTAGCAATGTCCCATTGTTAGGCATTGTCACCATGTGCGTAGTGATGTCTGGGATAATAGGATCAGACACAACACAGTATGTGACAACTCAGATTAATTGTAGATTTCAGCTGTTTTTCAAATTGAATGTAATTACTTGTCCAGCACAACACGTATGGAATGGAATTAGCCATTCCTGTTCCTGGCAGAATCACTTTTTGGCCTACAGCATCCCTTTTGTTCTTCCATATGTGGATGTAGAAAGGTCAGCTTCAGGAATAAACAAAACCTTTAATGGGAGTTTCTTTCTCTTGCTACTTAACAACCTCCGCCTTTGCTCTACTGGTTTTTTAGGTCAAATAAAATAGGCAAGATGCCCCCTTTATCTTCAGGGTGCTAACGTTCTTATTACTAACACCTGGTTTTCTTTAATCCTGTTTGCCCACTTACCTGCTGATATTGATGGGGAAAAAGCAAAACTTCTTGAAGACTGTAAGTGTCTTTCCGTCATTACCAGGCAGTGTGAAAATTTGACTGTGCCTTTGTTTTTGAATGAATGCTGTGAATTAAAACTCACGATTTTGTTTTTGTGACTAACGTCTTTTTAAGCGTGTGTGTTTACTGTGGCTAATCATTGCATTTAAATTCCAAGAAGCAGGTTTAATCTATTCCTTGCATGAATTCTGAAGACTCAGGTATTACTGTCTTTCTTCTACCAGTATTCTGGGCTACTAACTTCTGAGCTTTGTTCACATCTGATGTAACTCAGTGAGAAAATTCACAAAATTTGAAGAGAATGTCTGGTTCTAAATGCTATTAAAGGCTTGCTGGAATAAAAACATGTCTTTGGGTATATATAGGAGGTGGGTGCATGAAAATGCTTCACCCGAGTTCGCTCTCAAACTTCTGTAGGACTGGGTAGACTAGTGTTTCTAAGTGTCATCAGTATAATGGCCCAGAGAATTTGAGTATTGTTTTGATGTGTGCAAAAGACAGGCACCCCCATTCACATCATCTCTGAGTGGCGTGCTCTAATCAGAAACTGCTGCCTCTGACAGTAGGGCAACATCTGTCATCTACCTAAAAAAGTAGTTTTCAGGCATTTGAAAAATTCTCTGATACTAGATTAGCCATGAAAATTATATAAAATCACCTTTTCCCCTTATTACTTCAAAGCCCTTGTTAGTTGCCAGATGACCTAAGCACGGTTCAAAGAGGTACATCTAGGTGGTAAACTCTTAGCAGTTATGCGTGGCACCTAAGCCATCTCTGTTACAGACACATGAATAGAAGTTCTGGGTCTGCAACCATCACCCTTGCACCTCTGTCGCTTACAGAAAAGCACAAAGAATTGGACTGAGTCACTCCTAAAAATCCCCCTACCCACCACCTATGCCCACCAGTCCCTGAGTGGGAAATTCTAGGCTTCTCTCCATCATCCCAAACTCTCTACTTCCAAAGCCTGAAGGATCCCTCCAAAGTGAAGCGGGTCTAATTAAACATGTTTATGATAGTAATTTAAATATAGCTAACATCACTATAATGATAGGACTGGAATGTACTAAGAATTTTACACAAATTATTTTATTTAATTTTCCCAGTGACCCTAGGAGGTAGATACTACTTTTAAACCCTGTTTTTCCTCTATGGAAACGAGGGCTTACAGAAGTTAAGAAACTTGCTTGTAGTCTCACAGCTGGTAAGAAATAGACTAGTTCTTAACCACTAGCCCAAACTGTTAACCAGCTTTAGTAACTGCTGGCTAGAAGAATGAGTGTCCTGTGAACAGTGCCAGAGGCTGGGAAGAGCAGCTGGCTAAGGAGGACGAGGAAGGGATGGATCTTGCTAAAGGAGTTGACATTGACACTGTGCAGTATCCCGCAGTTAATAGGTGTGCAATAAATGATGGCAATTATGAGTTTCATTTTTTATCTATATTTTAGGTGTTATTTGGATGTTTAGTAAGAGACGTCTGGTGAACAGCCCCGAGACTGCAGACAAAACAAGAGAAGAGATCCATGTTTACAGATTTATAAAGGCATTGAACATGGAAATGATCAATTTAGCCCTGGCAACAATTCGCCACAGGAAAGAAAGACAAAAGCTGAGGACGATTATTAAGCTTTGGGAAATACTTGATTGACAGGTGGAAGAAGTTTCACAAAGGAAGCACAGAGCATAGGTGGAGAGGAAAGGGATGATCCAGAATATGAAAAATGATCCAGATAAGTCTTTACATGGTAAAGATGTCCCGTACATTGTAAGATGTTTAGCAGCATCCCTGGCCTCTACCCGTCAGACGCCAGGACCGCCCCCATCCCAGTGGTGACAACCAAAATGGACTCTGGATGTGGCCAGATGTCCCCCAAGGACTGGGGGCAAATGGTCCCTGGTTGAGAACCACTGGTCTGTGTAAACAGCTCTCCTTCGAGTTGTGCAAGGCAGTGGCTTCCACCAGGAGAGTTCGCTTCTCTCCTCTGCTTTGTGCCTTCCTAGTCGAGCTGTTTTGCTGCTCTGAGCAACAAAAGAAGTTGAAATGGATTATTTCTCCAGTCCCTTCCTGTTCTACACTCTGTGATTCTGATTTCACAAGAAGGAAGACGTGGTAATCTTAGAGGGACCTGAACATCAAATGTCCACGTACCAGCTTTTTTCAGATTCAGCTGCTCCAGATCAGAACAGTTTCTCCCTACAATTTGATAATAAATGATCAGATAACACTTTGAAGAGTGAAATGAGAATATTGTTTCCTAAAACAGAGAGCTTCCCAATTCAGTTTCTCTTCTAAAGGAGTTTGTTTTATCTTTGTTCCTAGTAGCCGCCTACCTCCTGGCTCTAATAAGACATGTCAAGTCTCTAATTTTAACCATCTTTTTCACATTAGCTTCTCAAATATATTTGTTACCAATGTATTAATTTACATGAGCCCGGTAATGAACTACAAGTCAGTAACTCTT